TTGTTTGCATCAAAACTGAAATGAAGTGGCAACAGGCTTCAGATATCTATTTCAGCTAAGAGCAAATGGCACTTGTTAGAATAAGACAAATTTCAAAATACTGGCCAGGGCACTTCATCCAATCTTGAATATTGCCTTAACTGTGTAAGATGGAAAAGACAGAAAGCATTCTGGTTTTATCGTGTGAATAAAGGCAACAATATAAGCTGAAAGCAGGAATATCTGAAGAATCTATTGAAATCCCCCAAACTAGGGAGAAGCAGACATGAGATACTGATGATATTGATGATTCATGCCTAACCAACATACTGTTCTATGGCTGAGTTTGAAACGTAACTACATTATTTTGCAGTAATGATGCATAGGTGATACTAGCCATTCTGCAAGAAGAAGCCATAAGCAATCAAATCAGAGTTTGATATTTTTCCCCTTTTCTCCACTCAGCTATGACCTTCCACATTGACTCAGTACACACACAGAGTTCCTTCAAATTTTAAAAACAAATGTAAGTGTCTAACAGTCCACATCCATCACTGAGCTATAACTACCTCAGATGGAAAAAAAAAAAAAAAAAAGAAAGGATAATAGAAGCTCTCTCCCCTTTTTGGAAATGTTGCAGAAAGTAAACCACACTGCTGCTTTAGACAATCACAGTCCATGCAAAATTATGGTTTTCAAATGAGCAAGCATGTTAAACAAAACAAAAAAAGATCAATATCTGTTACCACGCTAAACCCATGCTTTCCACTTTCTAAGGTGATGAGACACTGCTCATTATTAAAATTAATATTCCTTATGCGCTACTTAATTGGCTAGTTTTCCAACTGATGAAGTTCTACATGAATATAATTGCTTCCTAATGAACAAAGCAGGTAACATCTTCTAAAAACTTCCAGAGGGAACCCAGTAGGATCTGTATAAAAGAAACAGGCCGGGGTTTTTGTTTTACCAAGCCTAAAACCTTTCCTATTTTACCTGTCAGAATACACATTCATTCAATTATTTATTCTCTCAGAAAGTAAATTATTTCCTTGTAATGTGGTGAGATGTTTCCCTTATCTCTTCATTAGCATCAGCTTAAGGAAATGGAGTTACACTCAATCTCTCTAGGCACTGGAGTGTCCTGCAGGTACAGAGACAACCACTGTGTGCATTCCTCAGTGAGTAACAGCTCTAAGGCAGGTTTCAAGGCTGGAGCTTCAGCATTGCAAAAATGAGTGTATGATTACTCATTGAGATAAAAATGCATTCTTCTGCTAGTCTCATTTGTGCTGTATATAGCATCCTGGCCACAGAATGCACAGCCTTTTGAGAAATCACGTCATAAGATGGGATCAAAGGATGTCACAGCATGCAACGTTGTGACATACTGCACACCACAGCAATACTCTCAGTCAAAAAGAAAAAAAAAATCACAATATAACAATCTTGAGTACCACCTACTTCGGCAACACTACCAAAAGTGGATAGAGAATGGCCCATGGAAAGACAAAGGGTGCCTCATTGCACCCTTTTGAAAAAGGCACCACACCCAGATCAGTAAGCAAGGAGGCAAAACACCACAGTTGGGCAGTAAAGCATGATGATAAAATAAAATAACATTTGACTCTCATAAAGATAATATACTCTCTAATTAGTAGAAAACATGAGGGCTGTTTTAGACTGAATGAATAGTCAAATTAATAAAATGTTAGGCATTCATGTTTCTCTTCTACATAGATACAAATGGTTTTTACAGTGGCTGTTTGTCCTCTGGATCTATGATTCATGTTGTCACCCAAAGCATTCACTACTGGCTCTGTGTGCAGACACACACACAGTTTATATGTCCTCCCCTGCAACATATACAAAGGTGATCCCAAGCATAACTATTGTTTCTTATAACTGTGCAGTGGTAAAGTACTGAAACCTGCAGTTTTCTTCTGCAATTTTCCCAGACAAAGTTTACACACAAGTTACTATATCAGAAAATCATCTCAAGCCAGCCTCCTGGTAGACAGAATTACTAGATATGAATGGGTGGACTATTAAAGCCTACAGTTTATAAGTATGGGTTTGCTCCTTTGCCTTCTTACGCCTTTTACAAAGGCATTACCTGCCAAATTGCACATTGCCCCTTACCTTTTCTACTGCAACCTCCATCTCAACACATTTGTCTGCTCCTCACTGCAATAAAGCCTCACATAAACTATGCCAGACATATCAATTGACAGTTTGGCTGTGGTTGAGCTGAGGCACCAGAATTAAAAACCTAACATGAAGGAGCTACTTTAAGAGATGACCACATTTAGTGTCTGCACTGCTTGGAATAAAATACTGCTTGATACCTTGTCTGGTACAAAAAGAAAACACTTACTGTGTTTTCACTGAAATTTCACAAGGGGGGAAAAAGGACCAAGAATAGCATTTTTCAAGCTATTTGTCTTGGCGCCAACATAACACCGTTCGAAGATAAAACCAAAATACAGGGATTGGCAGAGATACTGACAATAGGAGAGCATCAAACTCAGGAGATTACTCAGAACTAACTTATCTAGAACTAACATTAACATCTGTTGTTTAGCCCTTTAATTCTACTTGAGTCAATGCCAATTTTGCATTGTCCTCAGGTCTTGTCATCACAATCTCTGGTATCAGAATTGCTGCAAAAAAATTCTTCTTCAAGCATAACCCTTGAACTATAGACGTCCATTGTAAATGAATCTTCTATTTCATTGAAATTGAAGTGCCTTCTCCACTATCAATATTTGAGATTGTCTCCTACCATCTATGAAAGACTTCTAACCACATTCCTCCCTAATCGTATCCAACAGTAAGCTACCATTCCAGAAAGGCACATTTTTGCAACATTCCATTTTGGTAATTTGTTACTATAGAACAGAATCAGTTATCATTTTCCATCTGTAGAGACTGGATAGCTTAGACACATGAAAGCTGGAGATATTGCCAGTTTTGGCATGAACATGTTCATCAATCACAGTTGACTTCAAATCTAGAGAAAAATCACCTTTACAGGATTCTGTATTCTCGGAGATAGTTACTCAAAGACATACACAGGCAAAAAAATCCAAACTACAAGGGGTGAAAGAAAGAATGTCTCTGGCTTTATACACAACTAAACTATCATTTGACTTTGTCTATAACTACATCATTATTTACAGGAAAGCTTATTGCACCAAATCAGAAAATCTCAGAAAGAATGTTTTGCCACCTACATCTGCCATCTTCTCCTTGACTAGGACCAAGTATCTCAAATTTTGACACTACAGTCAACAATCTCTAAGCCTTAAAAAGATTATACCCATTTAGTTCCCAAAGTACTTTTTAAAGGAGGTTCAGCCTATCATGACATACAATGGCTTCTCTATGTTAAAAAGGACAGCTAAGTGTTCAGTTACAGACTGTACATCCTCCCCACAATCAAGGTCTACTGTTACGAGAATCTCAAGAAAGAACAATTGTATTCCCTACTTTATTTGCATGCTATGAAACCACTGACCCTGCTGTTCAGGAGAGAAGACTTCTATTAGTCTGTCCTCTCCAGCCCCCTGCCAGAAAAAAAGCAACGTTTTGGTTCTACAGTAAATTTACAGGGTAACCTCTGATCACCTGGAACAAACACCCTTTGAACTGCTACTACTTCCTATTTGTGTGATACATATTTTCACGTTCTAAAAGTTGCCTATGCTAAAGACAGTATATCAAAATCACTTATTGACAACACCATAATACTGTATACCAGTGCAAGGCAGGGGGAGGGAGGGAAGAGTTACTATGGAAAATCCTATCACTTGTAAAAAAAGTTACATAGCTATTCTTTATCGCAAGTATTTACAATTTTGACAATCTAAACTAGAATTGTCTTCCTTCATAGACCTGTGCTTTGAGTATCTCTTCATATCCTTATCAAGGAAAACTAGCCATCATACAAGCATGATGGATGGCATAAATCCCATTAGAATTTTTATGGTTTTCACGTTGACACTGTAACTCCAAAATTCACAGTAAATTTATTTTCAGAGTAGCCTCAGATTTGGCAGTCTTGATATGTACTTTTCTTTTAAGAACGTACTCATGTAAGGGAAGTTTGTAGTAGAGATCCTACACAAATTATTTTCACAAACATCAGTAACAAATCCAAAGCAAGAACTGTTAATTGCACAATAATACTGTGTCTTAATAGAGCAGCTCCCATAACTCAGAGCTCTCCCATTGGAGCCCTCATACCTGGAATGCATCTGCCTACATCTCTCACCTGTTATTCTTAGCACATCGAAGTCAGAAACAAAGTTTGGATACACAATCCAATTTTTTCAGATCCCTTCTGACACCCTCAAGAGCAAACAGATGGCTAACTACCATGAGTAATATCTACCCACATAGAAATTCAAAGGAAAACAAAGAACTACTCACTTTACAGTCACTGCTGCTCTTTGAGCTGTTCTGAGCACGAGGATTCCAGCTTGTCTTATGCTTCCAGTGGCAGCGTACAGCTCTGGTCTTACCTGAGCTCTGGACAGCAGCTGTGAGCACACCATTCTTCGTGGTTCAGGATAAAGTAAACGCAGAGGCTATACATGCCTTTCTGCGGCTCTTTGTGAATGTAAAATTACTCCAGGCTTCTACACAAAAGCTACAGGCACACACGTCCTGACCCACACATAGCAACTTGAAGAGCAAGTGAGCTGTGCTGCTTCCTAGTATACAACTGCCTTTTTCACAATCCTGAAGTGAGCTATTGGCTTTATTTAATTCAACTATATGTTACTCATATTTACATTTAAAAAAATATATATTTTTTGTGTACAATGTTCCTTTTTGTGCTTCAAAAACATTACAGAGGTTCATATCAAAAAATGGCAACACAATCAGTGACAAATGCAAAATAATTCAGAATAACATTTGATCAAAAGACCAGTACATCTAACAGGTCAGTAATGCACAGCACATCCAACCTAGGAAACATTGTAAAAGAGAAAGAGAAAAGAGATTTCCATTACCTTAGAAGTCCTTATATCCCAAGCTTTAACTTCTGGGCTGAACCCTCCACAAATGAAAATATTTGATTCTGTAGGGTGGAACTTCAGCGCGCTGATTCTAAATTCATTTTTGCTGCTAAATATCTGCTTCCCTAAAATAAAGTGTGAGATAGAGATTAAAATTTGAGCAGAAAATGAAATATGTTATTCATTTCAACCTAGTTTCAAAAATATCAAGGTTGTCAAAGGTGAATATGTTAATATAAACAGATTTAAAATATCTGGGGCTACTCTGATTTACCAAAAATACAAGACTGAACTTACTAATGTCTATCCACATGAAACTGCTCCTGCTCATGGGCCTCTGAACCACTGACTGCTTCCTACTGAAAGGAGAGAACAAGTGGTCCCAGTTCAGTTGACACGCAGGACTAAATCTACAAATCTAAGGGTTGAATGTTTCCCTTAAGAGAAGCCATAGTCTTTCTTTCAGTGGGATAAAAATAACTAGAACAAAATATTGTCTGTACAGAAATACCATGTCCCAAACTATACTACGACTCTTGAGTTGTTTACTTATCTTTCTGTGAAAGTAGGAGTGAAACTTCATCTTCAAAGTAGGAAATAATTTGCATACCATCATATGAAGGCAATAGCTGTTCCCATGGATACACTGTTTCCAACATTTAATTGCATACGCTAATCTCTGCAGGATCCTGTGGTTAGTATCAATTGGATTGTTGACACTTGCAAAGGCAACAGAATTCAGCTAGGTTAATTTATAGGACTTTTCCACAGTCCGCTGCTTCCTTTCATCCCAATGAATTCATGATATTAATGTATATCCTCTGAAATATAGTTTTTGGAACAGCAGCATGGACCAAGATAAATACATTTCCTCAGCTTCACAATTTCAACTATGCTTTTATTCTACATATCACATATAAAGAGCTACATTAAATAAAGTTAGTGCTTTAAGCCACAGTGAAGAAGGTACTGCAGAAGTAAAATAAAACACCCTTAAAATACTATGACAAAGCTTCTTAAAATATTCCTTAATCTACATTTTCAGCAAGTGAGACTTGTCTTAAGATAGGCTTTCTTACCTGAAACTACTTTGAGCTGAAAACATTAGTGACAGATGTAAATATTTAGTGTTAGGTGAACAATACTGAAAATCATTCAAATAGATTTTTTAATGCTTATTTCATGATTTGGAGCCAATTTATTTGATTTCATTATCAGTTCCATTTTGCCCATCTGCTGAACTCAACTTACACACTCAAGAGGCTAAGACTTGTCAAATAATTTATTTATTCATTTAAAAGAAGAGAAGAGAGAGATTTTACTTCATCACATGTGCTCTTCAAGCTAGCAGGGGCAGGGAAAATAGGTTGCAGGGAGTATAAGGGAGGGTTAAGTGCTGTTCTATGTGAACTCTGTTTTTTGTAGGGTATTTTTGTTCTTTTTTAAAAGATTCTACACCAACTACCCATGCAAGATCTAAAGGGCCTCTCTGTCACTACTGAGTGAAAAACTTAATTTAGCCTATAAGTTCCTTCCTCCAAAAGAGAAAAAAGTCTTAAGGGCAGCAGAGGTTTTTCTCTGCGAGTCATATGCAACAGTGACCACCTCTTACCATGGGAGCTTTCAGTACCCCAACAGCTACAGAAGGAAAAAACCCCAAAACTCCACACATAGGGAACAACATATCAAAATCATCAGTTATAGGAGCAACAAGATGTTGCCCTCATGTACGCCACTACAAGGCATCATTTGCAGGCTTTAGAAAAGCCACATACACACGCATCTTACTCTCATCCACAGCGCTTGAGAAAATATGGAATTTCCCCATGCAGGTTCACTAGGCAGTTTAATAGCACTTTGCTCCCAAAGGAATTTGGTTCCTATTAGTACCTGGTTTAATAAACACTCTGGGAGTATAATCAACAAGTTTTCAATGGTACTGTGGCCAGAAATTAGCAAAACTGCAGCCTGTCTGTACTAATACTGTCAAACAGCTTTAAAAAGGACGTATCAGGCAGTCAGTAATCTCCATAAAGTGTGTTGTCCAAATGGCATTAGACATGTACATAAGGGATCCAGTGGAACTCATCATCTAACCTTCTGACAAACAGTAATTGTTTAACTGACTTTACTGAAATATGGTTTTGCTTCCACAAAACTTCTGAAAACTGCTTTTTCTATAATGCATACATTTTTCTTGCCATTGTGCTCCCCAGCCTAAGACATGAGAAAGCCAAGTAAGACACAATCAAAAAGGATGTGCACTAAATTGAAGATGCATTTCATCTACTAACTACAAGATCTGTTGCCTTCTCCACAGAAGGATTGATTTAACATAATTTGTTATTAATTAGTCCACCTTTCAATCTCATCCCCAGCTACTTTCTAAGTAATTCAATCATTTGCTCGATATTTTCTCCAGAAACTAAAATTCTCTAATTCCCTACTCCATCTACTCCTGTTTTAAGATAGAAGTGGGCACTGCATTTGCCATTTTCTTGTCTTCTAGAGCCTGTTTTTTATCCAAAAGCTCACACAGGACTGAGATCATTCCAGTGCAATTCTATGAATTCTACATTACAGTGTAATACTAAATAAAATTAATGCAAACAACTTGAGCATCCTATTCACCTTTATACTCTTTAACCCCCTTTTCCTATTTTAACCAGATAGCAACCATGCTAGCTTTTTGACTGGTCTGAGGACCAATCAGGATACATTAATCCTAAAAGCTCAGGCTCTCAAATTAATAGTTTGAAATACAGCGCTCTCTCTCATTCTCTCACACACCCCCTCCCCCCAAGTGAAATTCAATCAAATGTCTCTTTTTGGAAGCTCAGTAAACAGTGTTCTGAAGAGTTTGGCATTGTTAGATGCATACATGGATTTCATTCTACTGCCATGTCATAGAAAATGAGAAAAAGGTGGAATGTAGCAACGAAGAGCATGGGAGCAAAGCAGCAGCAGATAACAGATAAAAGGAGAGGATCACAGCAGTATGGAAAGAAAACCCTCCTATTGCTACAACTGAAATTTATGCACAATACACAGACTCTAAATCAGACTGCTTGCCATACAAACACACCTGAACCCAGCAAAATGAACTAGCCTAACATTTATTTGAATACATCCTTAAGCCCTTCCCTTTTAGGTATTAGGACTGAAGGGCTGAAGTGCTGAGGCGCATTCTCTATACGGTTTTGAAACCTATAGCACTGGAAATCTTTCAGAACCTCAGAAACTTGGGAAAAATATCCATCTGAGAGGTGGAACTTATCACTGTGGAAGATGATGTGGGGCAAATAGCTCATGCAATTCAGTACATTAAAACAATGAATTCAACTCTTAGCCTGTTTCCATACAAGCTTTATTTAGTGTGTTTTACTATTATGAGCAGAATTTGCTGCTTCCCACACCGTAACCACGCTGTGACAGAACCTAGCCCCATGGCTTGGGAAATCCAGGGTTTGCTGGAGACCCTGCTCCACCTTTCTAGAAGTCAGTATTTACAGTTAAATATATTTTTGTCTACACTTACTCAGCTTATTAACATTAAACATTCCACATTTTGGGGCCTTATTTTATATATTGCAAAAGATGTCCTTTGAGGAGAAGACTCCCTTATCCATAAGAGAGTACAACAGGTGTAAATCAGCAAGCTTGTATATACCTTATTGTGTATATATTTATTGTATTTTAGTTCCTAAATGCAGCATGAAAAAGATTGAACCAACTCATAGGCTACAGAAAATTACTACTTCTGAAAATCTATTTGGCTAATTGAGGCAAAACTCATACCACATATCATTTTCCTGTATGAGAGGTTGTTATTCCAAAGCAGAAAGCAAATGTTTCTCTCAATCTTTAATTTTCACAATTTCAGTAACAATATCTACTACATCTTTGCAGTGTGTTTTATATTCTTAAAGTGCTTTAATTCAATTCTTCATTCATTAAGGGCTCACCAGTAACAGACACAGTATGAAAAAAACCCTTTAAAAAGATCTTGAACATATGTTTCTGTTCCTTTATGCTGCAGCCTACTGTGAAACTGCTCAACTATGAAATCAGATATTTTAAAGGCTATTTAACATTGTGAATTTTTCACAGAACATCAGCACAGCTACTGAGCACAGGATGCATCTGTAACTGTGTTGTGGTCCTCAGGTTCACACCCCTACCTGCACAACCCAAAAACATTCACTTCCTTACACTAATCTGTAGAGAACAGTGAAGCCTAAGCCTTACAAGGACATGAGAGTAATCTTGCTAAGCAGAACAGATTTCCCTACTGTGTTTACAAAAAGACACGAGACAATACATTAAAGAAAAATCTCATTACAGTCACAATCTCTCTCATGTACAATAGGGAGAAGAAAATTAGATTGATCAGATAATTTGTTCTTAACAAATCGATGTTGGCTGTTACTTATCTATTCTATCTTGGCGTGCTTACAAATTGCATTATTATTTTTCCAAGAACTAAAGTTATACTGGCTATATGTGTTTCCTAATTTTTTCCCCTACACAGTCACAAGTTTCCAGCATGCAAAGCTGCTTGAAATATTAAATAATTTTATCTTTTACCCTTGAAAATATCCCCCAAATAAACATTTTCCTCTCTTCTTATTGCAAGGACTCACATTAGTGAGTATAAAAAGTAAAATACTGTTACCTCCTAGCTGGAGAGGGACCACTAAACCATGTTCAACATATTACTTAAAACTGTTGAATTTTGGGGGGAATCCTGACACCTCACATCAAAGATGCCTGCATGAATTCAAAAGAAAAAAATAAAATAAATAATAATAATAAAAAAATCAACCAACTGGGCTTCTTTCTGAAGCATCATATAAAACCTTCATGTACATTAAACCAACATATGATCTACGTAGTACTGGGAGAGAAGGGGAAGAACCTAAGATGTAAGAAGCACTAAAACTCCCATATGAACAAATACAATTACATTAACAATAATTATGTTATATCTATAGGACTACCAAATTAGAATATAAAATCCAGAAAAGCAAATTTGGAACATCCTTTTGGAGGTACAAAATTTTCCATTAAGAAACTACCAAAATAATGTCAAATAAAATAAGTTCAAAAAAAACCCCAAAAAACCCAACCAGGTTTAAGTGACCAAATTATATATAATCTGCACTTTCCTTCAAAACCAACAGCTTAATTTCAGTATCCTGGCCATGGTAATGTGAAAACTTTCCAAATAATGGGAATTTAAATTCCCCACTATAACTCTGAGGAAGTTATATTTGAAATCAAGCTCAGTCCATGAACTAAAATACAACTGCAGCATTTGGTAACATAGGAAAAGTGCCAAAATTTCTTGGAACATTCCCTCTGTCATAATATTAAAGAAATGAAAAGTATCTACAATATGCAAATAGTATCAACCTAGCCAATGTTCTGCCTATGCTATTGTACCAATTCATTTGTGACTAATGAAAAATCCACTAATGAATAAAACATATATTCCAAAAATAAAATAGTTATAAATAAATTTTAAAAATACAATTACCCTTCTAAAGTTGGTAGAGTATCTCCATTAAATCTGGATGCAACATAAGCTAAATGTGAAATGTACTTGACCCAGAATTGTTTTAAAAGCCAATTTTTTCAGTGCTCTCTGAATACAGCAGTACTTTCTACTCTGTAAATAACAAAGTGTCTGAACTATCACTAGTAGAAAATGACTGTGAGTGTGGTGTTAGTAGAGATGAACAAAACCAGGGAGTCTCACTGGTTCAGACTGCTGTGTTATTATCACATTTGTGAAACCTTTCAAAAAGCTTTATTTTTATAAACAAAAAACGTATATAAAATAGAACAATTAAAAAAAAAAAAAACCTGTGATCTTTACAGGCAGCTCAGCTGCAGTTTTTGGACCTACTAATATTTATGAGACCCCATATTGCAGTACTGAACTTGCCTCATGCAAACTGTAGCCACAGAACCACTCACGTGAATGACTCACGAATAACCTTGAGTACCTTAAACATTTTATGCATATTTTGGATCAGGTCCATGCTCTGCAGAATAGGTACAACAGTTTTCAAGAAAACCATATTTGTGGAGAGTCTTAGCTTGACATGTTAGGACAACAGATGACCATTTAAGATAATAAATGATGATCCATAAAAAATGAATTTAGAAAAAGACTTGTACAACAGCATCTATTTTCACCAAACCAGGACAAGTGAACTACTTGTACCTCAATCA